AAAAAAAAAAAAAATTCAACTACCTTTCAAATAACTAGTAATGTTAAATTTAATGTTTAAGGAAACAAGATAACTGATTCAAAAATGAAAGTCCGTTAGAACTAATTTATTATCTCCACAAGTGTACCAGACAATAAACGTCTAACATCTGATTATATTTAACGGACTTAATTCTGCATGAGATTAGCACTTACTTTTCAAGCAACTTATACATCTTTTTGAGAGCAGCTTCACAAGGCAGACTTGGGTCATCAGCGAATGACGAAACCTGCTTCTCCAATTTCATCAGGTCCTGATATTCAAATGCCGCCTCTCTTAGTGCATCAGCTTTCCCTTCCGGCCAATCAAAGTGCTTTAAGACAGCTCGTTCATCCACCTAAAAGAGAGAAAACGAATATGTTCCTAGTAAGGAAATCATCTGCTTCATGTGATCTATTTTTTTCTCTTTTTGATGATATACCAGAATAACTTCCTCTATAAGTATTTTTCCTACGATATATCACTTTCTATCCGAAGCAGAACTTATGAAAACACTCACTTCGGATGGCCAAACAATTACAAAGTTCAACCACAGATAAGGCAGCATACCAAGAATGAGAGCTCCTCATCCAGCCAGTTCACGAACGCCACCAAATCCTCCACGTTATTAAATGAAGCCGCTCGAACTTCGGTCGCCAACGACTGTACAAAGTCTCCTTGAGTCTCCACATCCGCTTTAACCTGAAATGAACACTTTCAGATTATAGAAAAGACCAAAAAAAAGAAAAAGAAAGAAAGAAAGAAAGAAAAAGAAAGGGTACAATACATACAGCCAAGAGGAAAGACGATCTGTTTTCAATCTCCCCAATCATATTACTCCTTGCGTCCGACGTGTTGGACGAGGCAGCCACCACAAGTGCAGACGACGTATCCTTCTTCGCCTCCCTTTTCATCAGTGTTTGGTAGAACTCTACCAGCTCTGGGGCGCGGTGGACTCTGTCCCCTCCCGCCCCTCTCGGGAGGCTCCCCGGCGGCGGAGGTGGCCGAGGCGGTCCTCCGGGAGGTGGTGGCGGTGGGGGAGGGCCACCTGGGCCCAAGCCCGACGCATTCACATTAGGGCTGGCGGGCCCACTGTCGGATGGCTTGGGTGGCGGCCGCAGGACCCGCGGAGCCCTCTTCTCGATCTGTGCAAGCTGCATCTTACTAACAAGTGGAGAAGAATCTACTTGACCTCCTGCGCTTGACGGGACGTTAGATTCTCCTGGCGCTACAACCGGTTTCTCCTTTATGAGAGAGAGTTTTGGGGGCAGGACAACTTTGGGATTATCCCGGAATTTGACAGCCCTCGCCTGCTGGGCCTTCTCCTTGATCTGCTTCTCCCTCTCCAGGGCCAGCTTGTGTCGGTCCTTGTACACAGGGTACTTCTCATCCAGGACATCCTCGACTGACTTGGACATTACCTTGAAAGACGAGGCCACGTTGTCAGGAGAATCATCCTGCTCGCCTGTCCCAAATGATGTGATTGCCATGCCATCTCCCGCGTTCCTCAGCATGAGTGCCTCCAGAGGGCCCTTGGGCCTGTGGCTGCTGCTGCTCATGCTGGACCTGGAAGGAGAGGAAAAGGACCCAGGCTCGTCTCTGGACTTGCTGCCCCCCCACCTCTTGAGCTTGTGGAGCAGCCCAGGTTTTTTGCTGAGCCTGCTGGTAGAGCTGTCGATGGATGTGTTGTCCAAGTCCTCGCTGTCGACAGACATGTTGTCGAAGTTGCTGTCCAGGTCAGTGTCACCTCCTCCTCCACGCTCGGATCCCGCGTACTCGAGCATCAGCTGCTTGGCCCGATCCTGGGACCGCGGGCTCAGGCTCTTGTTGAGGTCACGGGCCGAGATTTTGCCGGAGGGGTTCTGGTAGTTGCGGAGTTCGAAGCGGAGGCAGGCATTGACCCAGCGGAGGTACACGAGCTCCTCAACCTCGCTGAAGCGGTTCATCTGGAGGCCTTCCACTTGCTTCACAAGGTCCTCGTTCATGTGGCGCAGGGTGTTGACTTCTCCTCGAACTTTGGCCACCATTTCAGTCTATAAGGAAAACGTGGATAAAGAAAAGGGTTCTCAGTTCATAGGTGGAAATGGCTAATTTTTCTTTGCAGGTAGAATTGCTTTTCAACTTTCTTCTTTCATTTTTTTTTTTAAAAAAAAAGAAAAACACCAACTTCTGACTCTAAACTACCTTTCTCTTCTGCTGCAAATCACTACTGTTATAAGGAGAAATTCTGTGAGGCCTAATCCACAGTATCCATGTAAATGAAAACAGACACAAATTGATGTGTATAACAAATAGAACAAATGAGAATTGTTTCCTGGCATGAGAAGTGAGCAATGCGCTTTATTACACATGTGATGCCATTATATGCCATGCACAATGTGATCTTACAAAGATGACATTGTATATCGTATTAATTGCAGTACTACCACGTTACATATATAGTCAGTTCAAAGTTGTAAGTTTAAACAAAGGTTTCAATTTTCATCCATATAAATGAATAACAGCTAAACGAGAAGCAATCGAACAACAAACTTCCTCATACACACAACATGTTTCACAACTTGTATTTACCTCCGTGATGTCCGAAAGCACTTTGACATTAGCTTCGGCCGCATCCAACTTAACAACCAACTCCCTCTTTTCGTGCTGAAGCTCCTTATTCTTCCTCTTGAGCTCCATAACCTCCACCTCCAACTCCTTTACAGATTTCAGCTTCTTCTCCACCTCCTCCTCTTTCTGAAATGCTTCCTGCTCCTTGACCCGAAGCCCACTCACTTGCTGCTTTAGCAGCAAAAGCTGGCCTTTGGTCTGGTTAGCTTCCATTTGAATCTGCTTCTGCAAGTCTTTGATTTTCTTTTTCGTGAGCTCAAGCTCTTTTCTGGCTGCAGCCCCTTGAGAAATCTCCTCCTGAAGCTTTTTCCTCTCAGCCTGTAAAGAGCTTATCGTGATATTAAGCATGTCGATCTCGACAGTCTTGATCTTGAGCTGCTTTTGTAGCTCGGCTATGCTTGACTCTTGCTCTTTCAGGCCATAATATTCTAGAAGCTCCCCCTCGAGCTTTACTTCGCGCTCTTCCAATTCTTTAACGAGGTTACGCAGGTGTTGAAGCTCGCTGGCATTGTTTTCCATCTCATTCTCGTAAATTCGGTCACTTTCAAGATCTTTTGCTGTGGCTGACGAGAATTTGTCCGCGGGGAGCGGGAAATCAATTTCGCCGGATAATAGGCTCTCGAATTCCGGTAAGAGCTCGTCGTCAAAATCTGATGGGGTGCTTAAGGTGGTATTTATGATGCTGCTTATTTGTTTCACTTCCTCCTTTTCTTCTTCTTCTTCTTCTTCTTCCTCTTCTTCTTCTTGCTCGGCCTGGGAAATTCCGAATGCTTTTAGAGAATACATTAATAAATAAAAATGCTATGAGTTTGTCTGTAAAGGATACTTACAATAACCCCTGTGAGGCCATTTTTCGAACACCTGGCGTCCTCCCTGTCTTCCCCATCATCTTCTGATGCACAAAACAGGAAATGAAGAGAACTTGTCAGAGCTTCTAACCAATTTTAGTAAATAAAACATTATTTCCTCTATTTGGCATTTCTAAACAACTTATATAAACATACAGAAAAGGCATTCAAAACAATTTCAACAAAGAGAAACAAGCCAAACTATATGTTAGAGTTAAAATAGATAATCTAAACAGGGAGTAACAAACAGATAATGAAGTGGGCTGGCTTACTTAGAGAATTATCTGCTGGCTTTGAACTCTTGACACTAATCTGCTTTACTGCATACGCTGCAATAGAAGCAGCAACAACAAAGCCTAATCTGGCAATCATGTAGGTGTCTTATGGAAGGGAAAATGCTGGATTCTACAGTCATGCACTGATCCAAACAGGGCCTTAACTGGGCCTTTCCCCATTTCTCTTCAAACCCATATATCTCATTCCCCACCCCAACAATCCATAAAAATACAGCAAAACAACTAAACAGTAGTCTTTTTATTTTCTTTTTCTAATTCCTTTGAAAAATCCACAAAACAGACAAAAGAAGAAGAATATGCCAAACACATGTCAACATCAGTAGCATTATCTTCTCTCGGAGCCTTAGAGACCCTCCATAGAGAAACAGAAAATAAATAAGAGAAAAAACAAAAACTTGAAGTTAGTTCGATAAATACTGTTTTGGCGCAAAGTTTCTCATTTAGGCTACAGCAGCCACCAGTTTCTAGTGGTCAGATTTCTTCCAAGAGGATTGAATTTGCAAGCTTTATTCTTGTGCAGGTGGTTGAACAGTTAAAAAATGGGTTTTAGATGGAAAGAAAATGAATTCTAAGATTAAAACTTCATACACCGTTCTTTAGTAAATTTTAATCTGGAGCCATTGTTTCTGTTTGGCCAAAAGGCTCTTGTTGATTGTCAAATGTATATAAAATATTAAATTTTGAACATATAAAGATAATTAGTTTTCCGCAAAAATGCATTTTTAGTCCTACTAGTTTAACGTCATAGCATTTTTAGTACAAAGATTTCAATGTTTTGCTTTTTGATCTTGTAATTAAGTGTTTTGCTGTAATTTCAATCTTTTGAGGACTAATTGGTGCAGATTAGTATCTATTATTATTATTATTATTATTATTATTATTATTATTATTATTATTATTATTATTATTATTATTATTGTTGTTGTTGTTGTTG